CGCCGCCTGCAACCCTGCCTCCGCCTAGCCTACTTACGACGGACGACCAAGCTGGGGCGGATAAGCCTGAGACGCGGATTGGCCTCAAGACGTTCCAGTACTTTCTCAGTGAAGTTGCGACATGGGCACGGGATGAGAAGATTGTGAGCAATGGCTTCCAGGTGAGTATTTAGGCGCCTTGGTGTACAGTCTTCTAATGATTGCAGCAACGCGTCGACCGCTCAGTCGCCGAGCACGAATTCATCGACAGGTTGTTCTTCTTTTGGGATGTATCTTGTCGAGGCGCGCTGTCATTCCAGGACCTTATCAGCGGGCTGGATGGGGTGATGTTCAACGGTCTTATGGAGAACATTGAGTGGTTCTTCAACCTGCACGACAAGAATAAGGACGGATTCCTCACGAAGGACGAGGTGTTGACCTTGTCCGAGACTTTCCTCGTATGTCGCCCGCCACCCGTCCGTTGAGTTGCTGGCTGATCACTAGCAGTTTATCTTCCGCTACGAAATTGGCGACGCCTACCTTGGTGCAGTCAGTCGCTTTATGTCCAACGCGTTCGAGTACGGGGATGCATTACTGCCGCAACCTGAAGAGGGCGACGACTCGCCAGCACCGTTACCAGCGAACCAGCCATACTTGAATCTGGCGACATTCCGGATGGTTGTCCTCGCTGATGAGATCCTTGAGTCGTTTTTCGAGACCGACCTCACTGCCTCCTTCCGTCTCGATCCACTACCAGAGTCATTCGACGCCGCAGCGACGCTTGGGCCCAGCAGTAGCAGTTCGAGTGGGATACTTGGAGACCTCTGGAGTACCATCGCCACGGATTCGAACAAGAAGATGTTCAACATGTTCACGGACGAGATTGGTAAGGCCGTTGGGAAGCACCAGGTGGTGCATAAGCCAAGCATTGGGCGGTATACGACACTGGAGGAGCCGAAGGCGAGGGAGAGCTTGCTTACGCCTGGGATGCGGCATTCGGTTAGTCGGGGCAGTTTGCGGAGTATTGACGAGAAGGATGGGGTACGTCTTACGCCGGAGAGGACCACGCCTGGGATTTCGCCCGGGAGGGTGTCGCCTCGGCCTGTTACACCGACACAGGAGAAGAAGAGGGAGAGGGTGGTCAGTGATGGGGACTCGATGCCACTTATACAGAAGGCTGCCGCGGCGCTGCTTGAGCGTCCACAGTTCGAAATAGATCATGTAGAGAGTGAGGATGAGGGTGATGATGCGTTCGGAGTTGGGGAGGATGAGGACGAGGGTGTGGATGAGAATGTGATGGATGAGGTGGATGCGTTCCTTGAGGCGCATGATTCGGGTTTGACGGAGGCGGATAAGGAGGTTGCAAAAGGTGCGCTTTTCTTGTTCGTTTGCGTGGTATTCTTTTCGCTAAAGCGTTCCAGGACTTATCGATGCGAAACCGATGAAGTAGCATGGACGCTTGTATTATCACAAACAGTACTTTTCGCTTGTTTTACGGTTTTGAATGTACAGGATTTAATACTGGATTGCGTGGGGTGATGAAGCTAACAATTCGTGACCTAAAAGTGGCTTTCATGTCTCGCGGGCGCATGCAGGTGTGCTGGGGACTCTGAAATAGCTCTCCTTGTCTGGAACGGGCTACGCCGGCAAAGTCATTAGAGAACTGACGGCCGTCTACCAGTCTGTTTTGTTCAGCTCTTATTACGATTCAGCTGATGCTTTCTTCGATGTACTTACAATATCCTATGTCCTGACCAAGGTACAACGGTTGACTCGACCTGTTGAGCATTGTCGTTGGTATAAGCTTGGGTTCAGGTCAATCCAACAGCTTTTTTCTTGTTCTCAGGCGAAGAGACGAAGAGGCCAACTCTTCTGCTGGCAAGGGGCAGGGCAGAAGAAGCAAAACCTCATGGGGAGCTCCCTACGACACAAGGGCAATATCAGAACAATAGACGCGCCAGACCTCCAAGGAGAAGGAGGCACGTACGCGGCGGGCCGTACGTAAGGGAATGCGCGCCGCGCAGTCGAACAAATGCTGATGGATGATTATTCGGCTGCACCGTTTTCCGTGTGACCGCATCAAATCACTAAAAACCAGAAAAGGCAGCCAGAAACAGATTTGGAAAAGTGGGACAATTGAATTCTGAGGAAATGAGCTTGCTCCGGGGGCTTGGTGGCGGTGACCTAGTGGAGGATTGAGAGGGTAAATGAAGCGAATTGCCTGCTCATTGGTGCATGTCCTGTTCAATTGAGATGGGTGCCACTCGCGATCAGTGACAGTGCGCGCGCAGAATTGGGCGCTGGGAGGGTCGACGAGCGACCACATGACAGAACGGGGGGTAGACGGAGACGGGGGTTTTTCAGAGAAACCCGGAGGAGTGGTGCGCGGAAAGATCCGCTCGAATATACCCTTGATCGAGAACAAGCGTCTAGTTACGCGCACGCGCGTGGGATTTTGCCAATTATTGTCTCTTTCTTTCCTTCACCACCCGTGTCTATTGTCCTCCGCGGAAGTAAACACCCCCGACGTTCGTTTAGTTTCGACACTGCTCGCGATTTTTTCTCTCTTTTTTTCTGCTGCGCCCGTCTCTACAGGATTTCATCCACGACCTTGTTCGCTTGCTCCTTGGTTGTTTCCCACACTACTTGCTTACCAGTCAATACAGTTTCGTTCCTTAGTGGACAGGCCATTTGTTGGCGTGCGGCGTGTGCATCCGTTTGGTTTACTTGGGGACAAGCTTTGGACAAACTTGGATAGATAGTCTCCATCCCATCACGTCCCAGTGGTTGCGTCTGTCATGCTTGCATGTTGACGCGTATCCCGTAACGGCAATCTCGTTGTTTATGCTCTGACGTTCATTCGATCCTTATACGGTTCTCCTTCTGTTCTTGGTTCACCATCGACGCTTTCCAGACAGCACAAGGTTCACACCACCAATTCAGCGCATAGTATAAAATGGGGCCCCATCGTCCTGGGCGTCGCGTCGCCCTCGCTGATACTTCTTCCATCCGGACCACCACCAACATGACCAGCAACTACTACCCGCCTTATTCCTCCCAGTCGGTTGCATACCACCCTTACAATTCGTATTCCTCTTCCGCCGCCACGACTCCTTCTCCCGACTCACCTCCACTGGACACGGCGATGACTGGCCGCAAGCTGTGGAAGACGCTCAAGTCGTCCAAAGAGGTCAAAGTTTGGCCACCAGATATCGAGGCGAAGCTCATCGAGGGTGCGCCCCCCCGATTTCGGCCCAATGTCTATTCTGACTTTCAAAAATTCCTTTTAGCGCTCGAGCACTACAAGTCCTCGTCCGAGCGTGGGGCAGCACGAAAGCTTCAACGTTTTCCCCGACGAAACCGCTACATATCCGAGTACATCCTGAACACGACCGGTGTCCTGAGGACAGCCAAACAAGTAGGAAGCCGTCTACAGCAACTGCGCGACACTTGCAGCGACGCTCGGAGTCAGTCCCTTTCCCCACAACTGCTGTCAAATCTCTGATATATTGTCTAGTCAAGGGCCTGATTGTTCGCGAGCTGGGCGCCACATCTCCGCCTCATCCATCCTCATCGTCTCGGTCGTCTTCCAAGGCCGCCGACTCGCCATCGTCTCCCGACTCTCCGGGCGCTGTGCCGACAGAGCCCAGCAGTACTCCGGCCTCAAAACGGGCCAACTCTCTTGCAGCCGATTCTCCGTCCTCCGTCAACCGTGTTCCCGGATCTCCACCGCTAGCCCTTGACGACGTCGGGCAGGACCCTTTCTTCGCGGATGGCGGCATTTACCTGGGCGACAGCCAGATGGATCCCAGAATCTCAGACTCCTCAGCATCGGACTGGGATTTCAAGAGCAATGTTCTCATCGAACTTCAAAGCAGCAGTAGCGGTGGCTCCAGGGCGTCTGCCCCTCCTCTGTACGACTCTTGGCGCAAGATGAAACTGGAAAGTGCGAACGGCGAGCTGTGGATGATCCATCCCTCTGTTACATTCGTGTCCAAGACGCCCTACGCATCTCCCTACATCTTTGCCTCCTTCATCGTCAAACGAGGGGACGTCGTTGTCCACGCTGAGCGCACGCATTTGGCGTGCATGCCGTCATCTACCGCTGGCCCACATACTTATCGCACGCACTTCATCCCCGGCTACTGGACTCAACTGTCAATGAGCACCGGTATGTTTGTTCCCTCCATTTTCTTTGTGGGCGCGTGCTGACCTACGTGCAGAGATGAACGAGTACACAGTGCAACAGGATATAGTCGAGACCCGGCTGTCAGAAGACTCCTCTTGCGACGAGCGCAAGCTGCTTCGAGTCATATACCACTTCCTAGACACCCGAGCTCACGTCCAGCGCAATAACACCACTCAAGACGGGTTCGAGCAAGAGCCTTTTTCGTACTACGGCGCCCCAGAGGTGGAACCTGCGTACGGGACCGACTTCCCTGCATGGACACCCGACATGGACATGCCTGGGGACTACGGCAACGTCGTCTTCAGCGACACAGGCGCGCTGGAGTCGGCTGGCGAAGCGGGATACACATTCCCCTGGCAGCCTTCCCCTGAATCTCACCTTTTCCCCGAATCCTGCAACGCGCAACACATATAGGTTCTTGATACCATATTCCATACATTTTCTTTTCCCCTTCGTCTTTTTTCTTGATTGCGCTGCTTGTAGCCCGACTGTATAGTACACCCACTCACCCACACATAGCACAATCCCTCATCTCTGCATCTGCGTTTTGGTTCTCTTCTTCTGTGTCTTTCACGGCATACGTACTGTACGCCGCCGTGGATTGTCTAATACTCACCACCACCTATGTATAAATGTAGCCTTAGCCTCTGATGAAATACTACGGGCATTCTTCTCGTCTTGGTGGTGCGATGAGGCTAGGCTGAAGCATCCTTTCCTGAGAGTCGCAAGTGCTAGTCATCATGGGTATGACAGCTTCAAGCTTGAAGCTTCGAAACATACTTCGCAATGAGTGAATCAAAAGCTTGAATAGAGACACAAGATTTACGATCATGACTCAATAGCTCAGTGGTAGAGCATACGATTGCAGATCGTGTTGCCCCGTGTTCGAACCACGGTTGGGTCTTTGCAAAGTGCATTCTTTTTGTACAGTGCGTCTTAGCAAGCGCTGTTAACTATTGGCTTGAATAGCAATAATGAATGTTGAAGTCTTGGTATATGTAAAACACTAATGACTACGTAGTGTTGGCACACCGTCAAAATATACCTGATGCTCGACCCTCGAGAGGCGTATCAATTTTCCAGGATACCCAGGACAGGTTTCATCCCGCATAGTCAGGCTCAAAGGGCCTAAAGCTCAACCCTTCGTTGAGTAACACAGATGTAACACGGCCGACAATAGAGTAAATCCTCAAGGACTGTCACAGCATATATAACCAGCGTCCAGCGCAGTAGAGAGGGAGCATGAGCGAGATTTACCATTCGTGGGATTGGCTGCTAGCAGTTAAGTAGAACAACGCTGTGTGGCACTAGCATTGATGCCAAACAATGCCGATCACTTGCCTTTTACCACCACTCTCGCGCGAGATGGCGTGGTTCATCGCGTCTTCGGGGACTGGTGTTACGCTATACTGTACTCTGCGATTACAAGCTTCTATCAACGGTCTTTCGGCCGTCTTATTCGTTGCTAGATATATCTGTGTGGGTATATGGAGCTGCTGACAGGCTAATGCGAGTATGCTACTATTCCTTATCGTCTGTAGCAGAATCACGCCTTCAGTGTCCCTGATCACTTTGGCTATGATATGTGCTGGCTCTTAAGCTGAGAAATTCCGCGGTCGACCGCTGAGGAAGTCTTTTCTCTCGACCTCCGACGCGCGCTTTCTGCCTCGTCCTCCACATCATGTCCGACTCTGACTCTGCCAGTCTCAAGAAGCGCCCGCTTCGTTCGTATTTCTGGTGCGAGTCATTTCATGCATCCATTCTATTCAATCCCTATATTTATTTAATCAGGGATACGTGGGATAAGTCGCCAGAGGAGCGCAAGTTTCTTGGGAAACTCGATGCTTGTCTACTCACGTACGCGGCGCTTTCTTACTTCAGCAAATAAGTCTATTTTCCGTTATACCTCCGCACCGAAACTGACAGCCCCCTTTACATATTTGGACCAGCAGAATGTCACGGTACGCCCTTGCGCGAAAACAAGCAAGTCTTGGCATCTCACACGAACCCTTAGAATGCTTATGTTTCCGGAATGAAAGAAGAGTGTGTGCCCATTGTTGTTTGCGTGCTTTGAATTAGCTGACCTCCTCATAGCCTCGGACTGTATGTCGTCGATCCTGCCTTTCTTCTCTTCGACCTTATGCGTTTTGCAGTCACGGAAACCAACTGAACTACATAACGACGGCATGGACTTGTGGATATGTTATCGGGCAGATTCCTTCCAAGTGCGTCCACTCACTCAGCCTTCATCGTTTTGCTCATCGCCTTCTTACAGTCTCCTCATCACGCGTATACGACCCTCGATATGGGTATGGCCTCCTTCTTGCTGTTGCCTTGGCCTCCCTTACACCAGTGTAGATCCCCGCCATGGAAGTCATCTGGAGTACACTCACAATGGTCCTCGCATCAACCAAGAGCTTCGAGCAGCTCGTCGCAATCCGGTTCTTCGTCGGTTCGTCGCGTCATCCATCCATCCACCTAGGACATCTTCCAACCGACCTCATAGGTCTGGCCGAGTCGTCATTCTACCCTGCGATGCAATACGTTATTGGAAGCTGGTATAGGCCGGAGGAATTGGGCAAGCGGGCGTGTATATTCCATGTGCGTCGTATGCCTAAAACCCCTTCAGTGTACTGACACCATAGCAGACCGCAAGTTCAATTGGACCAATGTTTAGTGGATTCTTGCAGACGGTCCGCTTGGCTTTCAATGCGCTATGAACATCCCCCTTATTATTTGAACAGGGCGCATACAATGGGCTGAATGGCGTGCATGGACTTGCGGGGTGGAAATGTTAGTTGTTGTTCGTCGCGCCAAGTCTGCCGTCTGACCTTTGCATAGGGCTCTTTATCATCGATGGAATCATCACCTTACCCATCGCCCTCCTCGGATTCTACATCATGCCTGGTGCGCATGCCACCATGCTCGTAACGTCGTTTTACTGACATCCTCAAGACCTGCCCCATAACACCAGACCCTCCAAGTTGTATACGCAGGAGCAGCTTGACCTTGCGCAGAGGAGAATGGTTGAGATTGGCCGCAAGCCGCCTGCGAAGTTTACCAAGGCGAAGGTGAGCAACCCCTAGAATGAAGCGCAAATGAGCGGCGTACTTAACCAGAATGTAGGTCTTGGGATTCTTCAAAACTTGGCACCTGTGGACACTCGTTCCACGTACGTCCTCCCTCGCATCCCTTCATGTTTTTTACTGACGCGACTTCATAGTGTACATTTTGGTATGTCGACAGGAGACATATGAACAACGCCTGACCTTCGCCGTAGTTCAACAATGGAAACGGTCCCTCGACGTCGATGATCTTCTGGCTCAAGAGCTTCCTCAACCCGGACGGCACACAGAAGTATACCGTCGGACAGATCAACACGTACCCACTTGGCATTAATGCCATTGCTGTCGTCCTCAGTCCGCTCTCCCGTTTTTTTTCACAATCATCTTCGGTGCTCATTGATGCTAGCACTCATATACGCATGGACATCGGACGCGTTAGGTTCACGATGTGTTGTCATTGTCTTTGCAGGAGTACGTGTCTTCGACTGGTCAATAATATGATGCTGACCAAAAGACTAGCTCGGGAATATGTCCGTCGCTATTGCATTAGCTGCGACGCCGGTATACGAGCATATAACACGACGCTGGGCGTTATACTACTTGGTGCGTTCGTTCTTCAATGTCCCAAATCAATTCCTAACCACAAGTAGACGTCGTTCATGGGTGGTATATCCGGTATCATCATGGCATGGGCAAACGAGCTGAACGGGCACGATAGCGAGAGTCAGTCCATCTTATTCAAAGCGCTTTCTTGTACTGATAAAAGGACATGTATGTAGAACGCGCATTCGTCGTTGCATCGTGTAACATGTTCGCCTATGTCTTCCAGGCCTGGCTTCCCATGTACGTTTACGCCTCCTCCAGTTTCTCTACAGAGAGCTGAGCTTTGTACAGTGTCATCTTCCCTCAAGTAGAGCAACCTCGCGTCCTTAAAGGCAACATCGTGACTGCTGGAATATCCGCGGGAATGAGTGCGTTCCTTTTCCCGTCCTCCCATATGACATCGACTAACTCTTGATATAGTCTTCTTTGCCATCACGACGCTAGTCCTGCAAAAGCGCGACGCGCGCCGTAAAAAGAGGAATCAGCAATCCGCGGATACGCTGAGTGATGGCGTGGCTGGAATCGAGCTTGATGAAGATGATACCAGTGTGAAGAAGTTGGACGCCTGAGCTATTGGTTGGATACGGGTGATATAGAAATATTCATTGTAAACGGAGTGTTTGTTGTCGTTTTCTGATATGCAAAATCATTTTATGTGGACAACAGTCTACTACGACGCGCCATTTCAACGACTATTCGCAATCAATTTGGTCCTCATACGCATCTCTGAGCTCAGCAGCGTGGTAAACTTTCTGCTTGTAAGGCTATGAAAGATCGATGATTATATTCGCTCTGAGCCTCACGTTTGAGTGAATATCATCGCGTATCTGCCATGGTAGAGGAGAACGGGGCTTTCTTCCTGATTTGGGAAGACGCCGACGGCATTTGCGCCACACCGCTGACTTTAATAAAAGGTTTCCGCAGCGCCGTAGCCAGAAGTGCTGAAATCCAATGTTTCCCCTCATATAACCTCCAAAAAACTAAGTCGTGCTTTCTTCCACCGCGCGCCTTGGTACTTTTGCATGACGTCACGCGACTGTTGCCCTCACACGCTGCCAACACGCTCGCGGCAGAGTCCCGTTTTGGCCATCACAATGAAAGCTGTGCCGGGCCAGTCAGCCTCGCTTTCCATTCAATGTGCTTTCTAATGCCACTGTTCTTCACCGCCCAAAAATGGGTTTTCTTGGCGGGCATGTGTTACCCATCTGAACGCTGTTGCCTTCCGCCATCATGTCGACCACCGAGCGACAGCGAACACTGTCCGAAGGGCCTCAGCCGCGCCCCAAAAAGAAGAAAAGTCTATTTCGACGGGCAAGAATTCTGTCTGCGGTGACGAGCTACATCTATCCGCACCACGACGACCAGTCGACCATCGCCAGCGTGCACCGCGACGAGCAGAACCGCGCGCCGCTGCCACAGCAGCAACCATCGTTGCCGCCGCCGCCGCCGCTAGGACACGCACAAAGTCAAAGTCATTCCCAGCCGCTGCCTGTGCCCGACGAGGCGCGCGAAATCGACGAACCCGGAGCAGCAATGCCCCGAGGTTTGTTTTCAAGAAACCCTGACCAGGCTGGCCCAAGACAACAATTCCATCACGACCTACGTCTGTTTGATCACAATGTCAAGAAGTTCAACAATGGCGTCGAGCAGAAGCTTCGGACGATGTTCCAGTACTCCAAATGCACTGGAAAAAAGAGGGCAGTATGCATTGGAATCAACTATGTTGGCCAGAAGAGCGCGCTCAAGGGATGTGTGAACGACGCCCGGCATGTTCGCGAGTTTCTGATGAGTAGGTTTTTCACGTCTGACTCTCGCTCTACAATCTGACAGCAGGAAACAGAACACTGGGGCTTCCACAGTCGCGATGTTATGATTCTAACAGATACTGACCCAGACCAGCGACGCCATCCAACCAGAGCACTCATCCTGGGCGCCATGAAGTGGCTAGTCGAAGGTGCCAAGTGCCATGATTCGCTCTTCTTTCACTGTATTCCTGTTCATTTCATTCACTTCCACATCATATTTAACCGCTCTATTAGACTCTGGTCATGGGGGACGCAGACGCGACACCCACGGGGACGAAATCTCTGGGTACGACGAGACCATCTATCCCGTCGACTATCCCAGTAGTGGTATCATAGTAGATGACCTCCTGCACGACCTCCTTGTCAAACCTCTCCCCATGGGTTGTCGTCTTACAGCCTTATTCGACGTATGTCGTTCCCTATCCACTTCA